CAGCCGAGATGTCTGCCCCTTTTTTCTTTTATTATATGGCACTACGATATATATGACATATTATATGGACCTGAAGAGCCAAAATAAACAAGAGGAAAAGTGTAAACAAGACTGTGGGGGAACGTAACTGAGTATGTTCACCCAATCTAAACAGCGATTGTCCTTTCAGACGATTGTATGGAACTATTTAGCCCACACAATTATTTTAATAATATTTCAAACAAAATCAAAGCCATTCTCTATTAACAACTAGCTAACGTGATGACTTCATTGTAGTAACTATTTAATGCAAATGCTGCTCAGACAATAAACCAACAATCCAACAGATGATAAATACTGTTTCACCCACATGAGATTCTCACTTTTTCATCAGCAGTTGAAACTATTTAAATACAGAAGGGACTGACTGCGATTGTGCCAATTAAACTACACCCTGAAGCCTTCGGGTGCTCACCAGAACCGGGCTGCGGGAGGTGGGCTGCAGGCTGGACAGGCGGCGGGCCAGCAGAGCTCGGTAGCTGCTCTCCGGGTCGTCCTCCAGGGCGACGCTGTCCGGCTGCGAGTCCTCCACGATCAGGCACGGGTTCTCGGGCTGAGGCGGGCTGGAGTCCAGTTCACTTCCGCCGGGCTCCATGAGGTCGGGCCGAGGGACGGGGGACGGGCTGCTGGGAGCCTGCCGGGGCAGCAGTGAGGGGGGTGTGAGTGCGCGCACGGTCATTGTTACCTGGAAGTAGCCGGCGTTAGCACGTTAGCTAAAGGCTAGCATGCTAACGCTCAAAGCCACAACAAAGCGCCCATTCGCTTCCCACCGGAGAGTCGGTTATGCGGCCCCGAAGGAAGCGCGGAGACGCGCGGCCGGAGCCCGAGCGGCGGCGTCCACACGTCACCGGCGTCAGGTTACGTGTTTGACATTATAACCATTATTGTTCTCACGAAACATACCTACACATGCAGGCGGGCTCTTCGTCGCCGCGCACCGCGGCAAAACTTTCAAGGAATGATTTCATTGGTCGGCACGCAGGCATGCGCGATGACGTCACGTGAGGACATCCGCTTGGTTTTATGGTTTTGTGTCTTTTTTTTTATATGTACCGTTTGCCAGAGTTTTTTTTAAATTATCGATAAGGTTAAAAAAGTCACCCAAACATCAACGTGTCTCTATTGGCCAAATAAATGTACATATGCATCAATGCACCACAATGATTTGGACTCGTGAAGCATCATATAATGCGCATATCATAATACAGATATTAAGTCTATATGTCATTATACATTTTGAACATTATAACATGATTTAAAATAAGATTCAAAACATAATTCCAAAGTAACAAGCGTTCAACCAGATTCCACTGGATGCTTTAAGTGAGTTTAAAATGTTAAAATGTAGACTGTAACTACATTGAATATAGTATAAACTGTTCATTTCAATTCATTTTTCATTATTATGATTTTATATTATTGAGTGTTATTCATCCTATTTTATTTCTAAATATGCCCTTTAATATTTATTTTTCCCCCAGACAATTATGTTGAGCAATGTGGGTATGAAACATTTGGTTTGCAGGATGTTTTAGAGATATTTTAACATATTTAAGTTGATATTTCAGATATAGTTAAATATACATTTACTTTTGTTTAATACAAATTCATATATTGGATTATTTAACTTGGAATGATGCATTTTGTTTTTTAATTAATAATCATCATCATTAAAGCCTCCTGATAATAAATTTACTTTCATCACGTCACTCAGTCCCTCATCCTTTTTAGGGTTTTGTACATTTAAACAGTATTGAAAACTCTCTTCATGTATTTATAACCATAAAGATGCTGCTACGTGACATATTACTGTGGAGTTTGTCCCTGTGGAACAATAAGTCCTGAGAAGAAGATAAATCTGGGGCACTGCGTCCCACAGTGGGATCGCAGAGACCTTCAGAGGTCCTTGAAGGCTTTCAGGGACTCAAAGTGAGATGCAGGTTGACTTTCACAATAATTCCCCTCAGGTGTCTGATTCCATATTTAAATCATCACTGAGGCACATTGGGCAGAAGGAATCTTTAGGAGAGCTGCGCAGGGTTTCAGGAATAATGAACTAGCTTTTCCTCCTTTAGACGTTGTGATATCTGTGTTCAACATGAATCTCTGTGAGAGAGAAAAATGAATAAAAATATATGAATATCCCTATTAAGCTTCCTCCGTTACATGAAGACAAAGGCTTTTAGTATCGCGAGTCTTCAGCAAATTATATCTTTAATGGAAACAAAGTGTTATCTATCAAAGCTTGTTAACAAAAGACTTTAACAGAGAATCTTCCTGTGCAGAACCTCCAGAATCGAGAGAGGAGTGAAGCTGTGGAGTTCGGTGATGTAAGAGCTCCTGAAGGAGGCTTCTGGATCACATTACCGACAGGATGAAGACACCACAGGTGAAGACGGTCAAAGAACGAAGGATATCAACGTGAAACCTGATATCAACAGTATTATTTTCAGTATGACAAGTTCTCTGATTTTTATATTTGCTATTTAGGAATTATCTAATGGTCCATTTTGGATTCAGGATAAATCTCCAGATGCAAATAGACAAAGTCAAATGAAATCTTAATGGGTATGTTGTTTTTCTATCTGCTAGTCTGAAAGACGTCGGTGTGTTTTTGCCTCTATTGTCTCTCCCAGTTCAGACTGCAGGCCTTTTGTAAGGAGATTTTACTGGAGTGATGCTGGCGCTGTGTGCAGATTAGCAGGTGGCCTTTCAAGTACGAACATCACTTGATCATCGTGGTCTGACAGCCTCAGTTTCCATGGAGACAACTCATTTCCTGTAACAGCGCAGTCTGAGCAAACAGAGATCACAGAGCAGTGGAAGTATTAGAGAAGCAGGAACAAAGATTTGCTCCACAGCAAGTGTTCACAAAATGAGCCGGAATGTGCTTGAAATAAGTCCCACTGACGCGTTACTGCCCCCTCATGTCAGAAACCATCTCCCCACGAGACGAGGCCCCAAATAAGAGTCATCACTAACGCTCCATCCACACCAGGAAACATCTCTCTAGGAGGGCGCTTTGCTTATCTCCTGATATGAGGAATATAAGAGCACCACCAGAGATGAGGAAGCCAAGGCAGCTTCATTTATAGATGCATTTCATCAGAGAAACCTCAACGTGCCGATGAGTCAAAGAAAACCGCACAACAGGGAGGCATGTTAGCAGTGTGTGCGTCCCACATCTGGAGCTACACCGTGGGGCTTTTATTTTGAAAAAGAAGCAGCCTCACCTTGAGTTGCCTGTTAATGTCCAGTTGCCTTTCGGGGCTTCCGTCCCATGTACCATACAGCACCATTTCATTCATCCAAAGCTCCCTTATCCAATCGTTACGGTGAAAACAAAACTGCCCAAACTACGAGACATTGACTGACCTGAAAAACAGAACAGATGTTGGACGATGGAAAAGGATTTAACACACGGACACACTCTCACACACACGCACACACACACTCCTCATTGGCCTAGAAAACAGGAAGTCTTCAGCTTTAAATGTACACTTTTTAGGTCACAAGTCTTTGGGAAGGTCCACATAAGTAAAAACACTGTTTCCTGCTGCAGTTCTTATTCTGGGTAAAACTGCCAAAAGCCCCCAGAGGTTCTGGTGGGGGTCGGGCAGGTCAAAAGTACACCGAGGGCCTTCAGGCCCGGGTTGGGGCCCGGGCTGCGTGGGGGGGGGCTCATGAAGGGGATGGACGGGATGCTTGAGGCAGCCTCGTCACACTGAGGCCACGAAGCAGGATGACGTCATTTCACTTCCCCACGCAGACGGACGTCTTTAGCCGCGGGGCCGAGACGCTCCGCGCGTGTCCGTAGCAGCAGCGAGGATATTAGTGATGCGCAACATCTGCAGCTCACACACGCGCACGCACGCAGGAACATATGAGGGTTTTTATTCTAACGCGCCCGCAACTCCGCTCCTCTCCCACCGGTCGGGCACCAGCATCGTGCAGCCGACCGTGACCGCCACAGGCCCCCCGGGGAGCCGCGCGAGGCCGCGCGTCACGTCGTCCTCTCTGCGGGGCCGCGCTGCACGCGTTCGGGAGGAAAATGCGCAGCCACTGCCCGAAAAATGTCTGACGTGAAAACGCAGCTCTGCCCCGGACGCCTTATTGACCCCCCCCCCGGACGCCTTATTGACACCCCGCATAAAGACGCGTTTTACCTGCTGGGTCGACGTGTCCGCTCTCCGGTGGCTCCGCTCAGAACGCGTCCGGCGCCGCGCGGTCCCGCCTCTGTTTGTCGGAGAGTCGCCGTGTGGAATACAACACGCATGGCACGTCGGGATGCAAAGGCTTTTCCTTTTTTTCTGCCTTTTGTCTTTTTTTTCTGTTTGATGCCATTTCCACCTCTGGAGCCACGTGCACGCAAACGCAGCTGCTTCCCGTGCGCGACGATCAGGGGTTGACTTTACGCTTTTTTTCGTTTACTAAAATTAATTGTATATTTTTTAATAGAAATGACAGAAAAGGGAATGCATGGCTAAAATAATATTTTTTTAGTTTGTAATAATTCACACCCAACATACTTATTGTGTAAATGGAAAATACGTGTTGTTTTCGGCGGTACCTTCAAAAATAAACCTGCAGTTTGTAAAATTAAAAACTTACGAGGCAATAAAGTTCAATAAGTATTTTGTTTTCTACTTCTACATGTAAACACACAATCCCACAAACACCATTTATTTAGCATGTCAAGCACCAGCTGATTAGAACAGTTTGAAGTGAATTGAATTATTTATCATTCAATTGAAATCCCTTCTTTCCACGGGAACAATGGCCGGTGCTCTGGTAGCTCTCTCTCCTCCCAGCAGAGGCCAGCAGAGCCGCTCTCTGGGCGGGATGAAGTGCTGACTCACTCCTGGTACTTCCCATCCTCCGGAGGAGAGATACGTGCAGAGAAAAGCTCACATGAAACCTCCTTCCGGTGGCTGCAGAGAAACCAGCTTTATTACAACCGATCAGAATTGATGATTTATCAATTATAGATGTTTCAACATATTTAAATCACATCTGATTGACAGTCCAATGAGGTATGAACCGGTACTTTAGGGCGGGGCTGTACATTGATTGACAGGTCTCTACCGAAGCGCTTGTCCTGTCTGGGAGTAGTCTGTGTTTACACGTGCGAGCTTAACCCTTAACCTCTTTACCGGCCTTCTGGTTTCCATTATGTCGAAGTGGAGGCTTCAAACCCGGAGAATCGATCGGCTGTTAAGGAGCTCGATCACATGACCACGCGTCGATCACATGACCACACGTCTACCACGGAGCACTCGTGAGGACGTTATGTCGACTCACTTTCTTAAGTCCACATTAAAGCTAATTCTTTGACTCTCTTCACCTGACGTGTCTGCAACACTCATAATGGCTCTTCTCTGTAGCACGTTGTAAATACTTAATGAAATTGCACTTTCTTGTTTCTTGTTCTTCTGGGTTCGTGTCCTCATAGTTGAAATTCACTTATTGTAAGACGCTTTGGATAAAAGCGTCATCTAAATGACATGTAATGTTCTGTAATGTAACATGTCGGTCACGTGACTAAACTTCTAACCCAGAAGTCTCCTTCAGGAGATCTAACATCTAACATCACCTAACTTTACAGCTTCATTGCTCTCTGGAGCTTCTACAGATATTTTATTACCAAAAACATGAAATAATCAGATTTCGTTGAGGCTGTTGACAGTATTTTCTGATTCATGTAGTGATAGAAAGACATTCTTCTCTGTGAAAACCTTTGACTGTACAACAAAAAGAATCATTTTACCCCTGGATTTATCCAACTATCGGATTTTAGGTCGGAAAATGTGTTCAAATGACCATATAATTAATACGATATTTCTCCAGTTGTATATTTAGATATTATACATCTTAGAAAAGCTAGTTTAGTTTAGTCTGGGGAGAACATCACCAAACATTTCCATTAAATATTGTAACCATATCATTAATTTATCATTAATCAATATCATTTTAGACATGGATAGACTTTAGACTTGCCTGTCTTATTGCAGAATGAGCTCATGGAAAACGTCGTGTTGAGCCTTAAATAGTGTGTTTTTTCAGCTTTGCTCTCCGCACACTCGGAGCCTTGTTTCTGCTCCCGATGGGAACAAAAGAGGTGTCAGTTTTAGCAACCAAAGCACATTTGCCTGGTACTTGCAGTGACACTGATATAAATAGAACCTTTGTCTGCCACGAGCGTCTTATTTGCAGCCCCCTTTCATCCGGGGTTCAGTAAAAGGAATAAGAAGAAGATGGCATGTGCTGTAAGTGGCATCGATTACTGCCGATGACCCCGGAGGATCACGTCTGCAGGATGTCGTTCGCTGTGAGCCCTCGCTGTAGTTTAATGAACCCGTTCACACACTGGAGCAGCGACCTTTGGCCATTTTATAGGCGTCTGGTCTGCAAGACGTGTTCAACCTCGCTGTCCTCCTCATCTTCAGTAACAGCATCGTGCAGGAAATACAATCAACGCCAACGCTCGCTTCCTTTTCCACCAATGGTGATGCTGTGACATCAAATAGCCACATAACCCGCGCTCCAATGGAGGAACACGCCACCCAAGAGGCCACGCCCCCAAGGCGTCCTCCCTGCTCATCCTGCGGTGTCATGGTGCTTGCTCTGGATGCAGTTGTCATGGAGATGGAAAAGCTCTCCGCCAGTGGAACTGTTACCATGGAAATCTCCGTCGCAGCAGCAGCAGCAGCAGCAGCAGCAGCCTCGGTGGAGGAGAGCGCTCAGCACCACGGACAGCTCCCCTCGGCCAACCATCGCATGCTCGTCGTGGTCGGAGAGACTTCCACCAGCCAGCACCTGGACGCCGTCAGGAAACAGATCGCACGAGGTGAGACGAAAGGCGCCGACGGGCTGTTAAGGGCGACGCCGACAGGGTGCCGTTGTCTGCGGAGGGTCTTCGGTTCCCCACCGGGGGACAAGCCGACCGCCGACTCGTGCTTTACTTCAGTAAAAGTGCAGATATCAATGTCTGAAAGGGTTACAGTCATGTTTTGCAAATGTTTGAGTTCAGAACATTACAGAAGAAAAGGACAGAACTCGGGCAGAAATAAGAACGTCAGATTTTTAACAAACTCCAGTCATATACTTTTATGTATTATGTACTTTTATATAGCTCAAACTGAACCGTAGAGGCTTGAGACTTATTCACTGCTTTGTTGTGTTTAAAGATAGGTCGGATATCAGACTGCTCTGGCATCATGATGCCCATCACGACGCCACGTGACGGCAGTGTGACATTAAAGCTGCGTGCGCTAAACATCTGGAGTCCTTATGTTGTGGGCCAATCAGAGCAGATGTGCAGGCTCCTTAGAATAAAGCGACAGGGTTTCAGGCCGAGGTCAGATGCTCGTTTGTTCACAAAACAGTGCGAGAACAGCAACGCGTTCTTAAATCATCAGAATACAAAACACAAACAGGGACCTGAGAAGTCAACACGTGCCCTTTAACTGTGGTCCAATGTTTGATGAATGAAGGCGCTTCTTCTTCCTCCCCCACGCCGCTCCCCCGCAGGTTTGCGTTCCTGGAGCGTCGACCTGACGCTCTGTGACCTGAACAAGGAGCTGCAGCTCTTCGGGACCAGACACACCGCGCAGTTTTCTTCGCAGGTCAAAGGTCAGTCCGCCACCCCGCCCCCCCCTTGTTTCCCTCCCCGAGGATGCTGGAGACGATGCGGCCTGCATATCGACCGGCCTCGATAGCAGACTGCATGTCGGGGCGGGGGTGGGGGGCAATTAGGGGAACGTATGATCAGGCCCCCCGGTGGTGAATGGAGCCAGTGTGAATGTGGATCGGACCGGGACGTCACGGCTCTGAATGCGACCCCCCCCCGTCCCCCCCCCCTCTCTGGGTCGCTGCTTACAGTGTAGACTTGACAAAGAGAAGCGATTGTGTCCCTGGTATTATTAGTGTTATTCGTGCTATAGTACTACTGAGCCTCTCCTGCGGCCTAGTGGGGTCAAACGGAGGAGATCCGTCCTCCCACAGTAGCTTATGTTGTGTAAGGAGTAGTGACAATGTACAAGAACCAACAATAAGCAACACTGTGAGATCCATAAAGTCCAGGAACCGTTATGCACGATACAGATTTTTGTGGTTTTGGATTGTGTTTTTATTGTTTTTGTGTAGCGACTCGGCTCTGAATGGTTTCACACGTGAGGAGCGTTCAGCGGTTTAATCACCTCGCTGCCATCTGTCAGCCACCATCTTGATTCATTCAGCCCCCTTCTGGAAATAACAATTATCGGCGTCGACCTTTTCCTCTGTCTCACCTCGCGCACAGACCCCCCCCGCTCAGCACACGCTCGCTGTTCAGCTCCGTTCCAAACAGACGTGTTAAAAACCGACATGTCTCCCTGCTGCTGCCTTCCTGATGTCACGGTTTGTTGTTTGTAGGGTTTCCGATGTTTTACACGCGTGCACAGAGACGTCAGTGTGGCGCGACAGCCGTGACGAGGAAGCGGAGAATGAAGTGAGCAGGTGCATTTTCATATAGGAAGCTGCTGTTTGTCCCCCGCGTGTGAGCAGTAGTCACCATTGATGCTCTATCGGCTAACGTAGCTTAGCAACGGCCTCTTTTCCTCAACCTCTCCGAGTGCTTTTGTGGCCTAAAGCTCCTTTAAAGGTTAACTGTTCTGAGAATGTTTGTGTGCCGATGGACGGAGCTTCATAGCTCCAGGCTTCTGTTTGACCGGTTGGGGGTGAGACTTTTGCCCCCCTGGAGGCAAACGTGAGATTTTCAGTGCAAATTAACAGCACAGATTGTTAATCGATCCGCTTCTCTTTGTCTCCGGTCTTTGTCACTCGGGCCGAAATCTTATCCGGCCTCGGTTCTCGTAAACCGTGAGTCTCTGCAGAGACACGAGCAGCCGGTGGACACGAGGAGACGTGCAGCAGGACACACACACACACACACACACACACACACACACACACACGCGCGCGCTGTGGGATTGTGTTTCAGTCACTTACAGGATTCGTCTAGACAGTCAGAGACAAGCAGAGAGAACATCAACCTGTCTGCATTTTCCCATTGGTGTAATTGAATATGATGCAATCGATCATCCCCGTGATGCGGGAAGCTGCATCGTGGAATCCAATCAGCACTGTTTCCTTTTCCCAATTATTACATAAGAGCTGGTGTCATACAAACCTACGCATCTGTCCGTAAGCTAAAAGCTTAATGCTACACAGCAGCGGAGCAGGATCAGCTGGGGGCAGATGTCAACAGCTTTGCAGGTATCCAGCGACATCCAGATGTTTTAGAGGAATAGATGATTGAAGGTAATGATGGTGCTAGAGGAGCATCAGGTCAGCGTGAATGTCTGGACTAAGCACCAGTTGACCTCACACTGGGGGGCCAAACTAGTAGATTCATCCTCCCGGGACCATGACCGTCCGTCCGAGTTCAGTTGTTATTTAGATAATTACAGCGGCTCTCAGCCACGATCCCATTGGTTACTACTGAAGACAAACACCCTCAATGACGACTTGTCATTTGCCAAATCCGCTGGCCCAAGTAGTTCAAACGGGAGTAAATAGAGCACTTAAAAATAGAGGACTATTTCCTGCCGCGGATTAATCCCCATTTGGTGCAGTGAGTGACTTGAGGCAGCGGGACTGTGTTTGAGGGGAAAAACAAAGTAGACTTTGTGAAGAGGCTCACCGACCTGCTTTAATGGAGCTGAGTAGAGAGGCCGGTCGGCGGTTTGAACCCACCGCTGCGCAAACAGGAGGAGGCTCTTATTGACAGCGGCCTGAGACAATCGATGTGTCTGCGGCAGGAGGGGGCTGGATGTGGAGACGGTCATCGTGGCATAAAGGCGGTGAGAGAGGCCGCTGACACATCCGCCTCCTCCAGAGAAGCGCTGTGACGTCGGCCCGCCGGTTTCCATGTTGCCCATAAGCCCCACTGGATCCCGATGGAGCCCCGAGGGGAGGGGGGGGGGGGTTCACAGGTCAGCTGGAGGAAGACGAGACGACTGGTAGGCGCAAAGGTCACATCGGAAAACCGATCAAATCCAGGCAGTAAAAAAAACACAAAGAGCTTTGGAACTGAAGGTCAGCGGAAAGTCAGCCGGAGGTCGGCGCTTTGGATCCGTCCTCCGGCGGCTCCCTACACACCATGCACTCTCACGGCAGCGTGTGGCGGGACGGCTCCTCCTGGTCTGTGCCTTGAATTCTAATGCGCCGCTGCCGGAGGAAAACAGAGTCACCATGGCGGGCAGAGAACCTGATCGTGATCGGCTGCATATTGATCGGTGACGGCGCGGCCTGCTGATCCCGTTGATCTCCCGTATATCTGAGTCCCGGTCAACAACATTTTCATCCCTCCCTCCCACCTCCTCCTCCCGTCATTTCCCTCAACAGGAGCTGAGATATTTTTCCAATGGCAGAAAGTAAAAGTGTTGCTGTTTCTTTTCATTTCAAAGCCCCCGTGGACGGAAGTGCTGCCAAGTCCGACACGTCGCTCATCCATCGCTGCCCCCCCATTAGCGTCTCACAGAGGACCGTCTGGCAGCATTAAAAGATCTCATTGCGTCCTGGGGGAGGAGTGGGGGTGGAAACGGGCTCCATGTATGCATCTCCCGTCCACACGGTGGAATTAACAACGACCCAGTGGGGGGGGGGGCATCGGAAAGCTCTAAACGGTGGCAATAATTCAATATTATAGTTTATTTCCTCTCAGCGGAATGTGGGATGATCTCACCGCGCTTCATCAGCAGTTTGTTCATTTCCTGTGACGCGTTGACCCGCGGTGACCTCGTAGGACGCACGGCCTCTTAAAGGCAAAGTGCCGCGGCGAGTAAACGTTATTTACACATTTGTTGGAATCTCTAGTTTCAAGTCTTATTCAACGCAGCATGATGTTCAGGTGCAGGTGTACGATGAGGCGACATGAGGATCGTTTCCTGCTTTCGTTCTGGGTGCGGCTCCACATTAATAATTCAGCAGCCGCTATTGATCCGGGCTGCACATCGAGGGGGGGGGGCTTCATCTGGGCCTCACAATACACACCCGCATGCCGACACACATGTACACGCGTGTGTGGGTACAGTGCACACACACACACATGCACTGAAAGAGATGTGACATAAATGAAATGTGAGCAGTGAAAGAGGAGGTTGTAATGTCCTTCGGTTGGAGGACAAATACATTGAGTTATATGTTTACATTTGGATTGCAGTAGACTGTGTATAAGTACCTCACTCATACACAGTCTACTGCAATCCAGTACAACGCTGCAGTAAATCATTTAAACGTAAATATTGTTATCTTTTTATTTGGGGATAGAACATGTACGAGGGAGGAAGCTGCACATTGTGTTTAGTGATCATTAGCAAATATTAGCATGACACGCTAATATTTGCTAATGATTTAAGTTTTGCAGCTATTTGTTCATAGAATAAAGTTGTTACAATTCATCCTGAGGACGGCAGTCTGTGGGAGAAAACTGCCAATCACAGTAAGCCCCGCCTCTTAAAGCATCCCCTGTCATTTCCTCATAGACGTCTATGGGAGCAGAGGAGTCGCCCCCTGCTGGTCACTGCAGAGAAAGTAGAGTCATTTTCCTCATAGACGTCTATGGGAGCAGAGGAGTCGCCCCCTGCTGGTCACTACAGAGAAGTAGAGTCATTTTCTTAATAGAGGTGTATCGGAGCAGAGGAGTCGCCCTCTGCTGGTCACTACAGAGAAGTAGAGTCATTTCCTCATAGACGTCTATGGGAGCAGAGGAGTCGCCCCTTGCTGGTCACTACAGAGAAAGTAGAGTCATTTCCTCATAGACGTCTATGGGAGCAGAGGAGTCGCCCCCTGCTGGTCACTACAGAGAAGTAGAGTCATTTCCTCATAGACGTCTATGGGAGCAGAGGAGTCGCCCCCTGCTGGTCACTACAGAGAAGTAGAGTCATTTCCTCATAGACGTCTATGGGAGCAGAGGAGTCGCCCCCTGCTGGTCACTACAGAGAAGTAGAGTCATTTCCTCATAGACGTCTATGGGAGCAGAGGAGTCGCCCCCTGCTGGTCACTACAGAGAATGCAGCTTTACCACATGAAGCTTTGGTTTCACTTAACATATCTGCAGGTTGCTGCTGCCTTTTATATGAACTACTGCACACACGTGACCTTGACACACTGCTTGTGTGTGTGTGTGTGTGTGTGTGTGTGTCTGTCCACGTGTGAATGAACTGAGAGCGGCGTGAAGCGGGTGGAGGAGCGAGGACCACCTGAGACGTTAAGAGAGACGGGGAGCGGACGGCCGTCTGAGATGATGCTTCAGCTGTGAGGGGAGATAAAGCGCTTCATCAACAGGGCTTTTGACGGTTTGGTTACCGTGGCAACCGCTAGCAACCCTCTTCTCAAATACCTCTTAGTAATTGGAGCTGCGCTTTAATCTGTGTGTGAGTTATTCTCGTATCAAACAGAATCCTTTTCTGCGGGATCCCAAAAAAGAAAACATTTATTTAAGGCACAAAGAGACAAATGTCTAGACTGCTTTTGACAGGAAGTCTAACTGAAACCCTGACCTCTCCGAATCCACATCCGTCTCTCTCTCAGTCAGTCAAATGCTGTGATTCAGCGGTTTATTTTAGTGGGTCTCTCGGCTGCTGTTTGAG